ATAAATTAATATCAATAATATTATTAGTATATTTATAGATAAACTAATAATTTGATAAATATAATTTATTATATATTAATATATTTTTACAAAATATAAGTATATTAATTAAAAATATACATATCTTTTCTTATATATTTATATTTTTGTAAAAATATATTAATATATACTAAGTCATATTTATCAAATTATTAGTTTATCTATAAATATACTAAAAATATTATTGATATTAATTTATCAATAATATTAAAATACTAATAATAAACAAATTTTATTTATTTAGTAATAATAAATAGGCTTAATTGTATTTTTTTTTTATCTCACAAGTATTGCAATTGTGCAATTTTGATCCTCAAGATTTTAATTGAGTAATTTTAGTCTTTAAAAGTTTGTAATTATGTGATTTTAGTGCCTTAATTTTTAATTGAACAGTTTTAGTCCCTCAACTATTATAATTGTGGAATTTTAATCTTTTCTGCTAAAAATTTAATAATTTAATAATTTATATATATAATGGTTTAAAATTATACAATTGTTTGCTTATTTAAGTTAACATATGTTATAATTTTTTGTTAATATATCAAATGATATATATTTATTATTACTAAATAAATAAAATTTATATATTATTAGTATTTTAATATTATTGATAAATTAATATCAATAATATTTTTAGTATATTTATAGATAAACTAATAATTTGGCAAAGCCACATGCGCATTCGTGTGCTGCTGGATGTGAGAGTGCCGTTGAAAAAAGATAAGCGTATCAGACGAGCAGGCGGTGCAGCCCTCACAGTAATCTTCAAATACGAACGTTTAGGGATATTTTGTTTTTTCTGTGGCGTCATGGGCCATTTAGAGGATTGCTGCGACAGCCTTTTCGCCTTGCCAAAGGATGACGGGAAACGCCACTGGAATGCAACACTCCGAGCCGACAACAGAAACGGCGGCGGAAGCTCGCGGTGGCTGCGGGATGAATCCGGCCAAGATTATCGACATGATATCTTTTCCCATGCAAAAAATCTGGGCTTCCACGTAAATCAGGGGGGGACTATTCCTGATCATAATCAACCAACCCAATTTCCGGATATTATGGAAATTCAAAAACGGAAAGATATTATGGCTCAAATCTTTCAAAATATGGTAACTGCACCCAAACGCAAGAATACTTCTCCCACTCCACCTGGCAGCGCTGATCACTCCGCCATGGAAGAAGACCATGAGGATCTAAACATCACAACAACTAGCAAAAAACGTGGTTTTAATGATCTTCACGAAGTTGCTTCCATATCAAATGACGACGCCCAGCACTCTTCCCCATTAGAAGACACAAACTCCAGCATCTCCACTCTTCATTTTTTAAAGGTAGGCCCTGGGAATCAGGCCTACCAGGGATCATGAGTCTCCTCAGCTGGAACTGTCGGGGCCTAGGCAACCCGCGTGCAGTTCCTACCCTCCTTGACCTACTCAGAACGTATCACCCCGATGTTCTATTCTTGTGTGAAACTCTTGTATCAGCTTCTCGT